GGGGGGGGGGGGGATGACTACGACACAACTCATTTCTCAGCTTTGCCTCCACACTGGTCCCCAGGGTTTTCCCTTCCTCCAGAGGGGAGCCAGGCTGGGACCTCTTTACCAGGAGTAGCTGGGAGTGAGCAACTGAGCAAACTGAGGAAGCACTTGCAAGGAGTTTTCCATGCCCTTCCTGCTGCTGAGCCTCACCTCCTCCCTCCAGAGTGGCTCTCTGCGGCCCTCTGTTCCTGCTACCCAGGATCCTTTGCCTGAGCCAGTATGCTCTTGGTCACCCTCTGGGTTCTGCCCTGTCCCATCCCAGGGAGAATAGCAGCATCACCCTCATTCTTCCTTGTGCTCAACTGGCTCACTCTCACAAGCAGTCTCTAGTGGACTGTAGCATTCCCCACCCTTGGGATTTCCTGCCTTCTGCCTCCCTTCCTTATTCCCTTGGTTTTGTGGGGAGAGGGGAAGAAGCATCAGGGGTCTAGGCCAGCCGCTTAGGGGTCACAGGGAGATGTTGGACAATGTGCCTGTTTCTTAACTCAATGAAAAAGCCTACCTCCGAAATCCCCTTTTTGTTCTTCCTGGACCTGGGTGTTCAGCTCCTGCCCTTAACTGAATTGGGAGCCTCTGCCTCCTGCTCTGTGGATCCTGGATCACAGGGAAGCCACATAGACATCCCTTTCTTCCCTTGCACGCTCACTAGCAGCTGGTAAGGTCTTCACACCCTGATAACTCAGTTTTCTGCCTAGTGGCACTTAAGTAGTGGGAGGGACACTCCATGCCAAGACACCCTGGCATGGCCTTCCCCTTGGCTGTGGGCAGGCTCTGATTCACTGTCGCTTTGGAGTTGTGTCTTTTTTCTTTCTTTAGTTCCTGTATTCTAAACATTAGTACAAATAAACGTTTTTACACAGAGCCCTCTGCAGGATGGTTTATCTCCTGATTCCCTTTCTTGGTTATGAAGGCCACTTCATTCTAAAACTGTCTTAGGACTGTGGGGCGGTTTTTTTGTTGTGTTGGTTTTTTTTAATTGATTTTAGAGAGGGGAGAGAAACATCAGTGTGAGAGAGAAACATCGATTAGTTGCCTTCCATATGCACCCCGACCAGGGATCAAACCCGCAGTGCAGAAATGTGCCCTGACTGGGAATTGAATCTGTGACCCTTCTGTGCACGGGAGGACACTCAGTCAACTGAGCCACACCAGCTAGGACAGGACTGTGGTTTTTAAATGTTTTGAAATATAGCTTTTTCTCCCAAATTACAATTTTTGCTGAAGCCCAATCTGTAAAGCAGATACAGAATTGGGTATTTTAATTTCTTATGTAAAGTTAGGTTATAACAGTTCCTTGTTATGAAGAACAATAAAGTTGTTTAATATAAAATTTGTGGCTCTGGCTGGGTGACTCAAGTTGGGTGGAGCATCATTCTGTACACCAAAAATGTTGCAGGTTTGATTCCCAGTTAGGCAATACCTAAAATTGCAGGTTCAATCCCTGGTCAGGGCATGTAAAGGAGGCAGCCGATTGATGTCTCTCACATCATTTCTTTCCCTCTCTCTAAAATCAATAAAAACATCCTCGAGCGAGGATTTTTTTAAAAATACAAAATTTGGGTTAAAATCAGCTTTAGCATCCTGTTTATTTTTGTATTTTGGTTGATTTGGAGGAAATTCAGCTAAACTCATACAAAAGTGGTGACAGGTTTGTAACAGTTGACCTTGCAATTTGAGATACTTAAAATGGGGTCCAGAAGCTTATTGTGTAAATATGGAATGACGGACACAGGAAAACTAATGGTGTCACGATGGGACACATAAAGGTTTTCATATGGGTTATGAGCATGAGGAGCAGAAACACCTCAGCCATGTTTGCCTGGTGTTCATCCATTTGAGTGCAGTGTGTTTGAACTCAGCCCATAGTGCAGGACTGCAGCCTTCCTCGGCATGGTTATATGCACAAAAGTGAGTTTTCTTTCCCTGCAGCCAGCATTTTGACAGCTGCTATAGTGGATCGTATGCATCTCATGAGTATGTGTTTTGAAATTAAAATTGAAGATTTGAATCAATCTGTTATGAACCCTCAATGTATCTTTAGGGTTTTCTGGAACAGTCTGAAAGCCACTGTTACCTAATGGAAGGCAGTGGCCTGGGCCATTGCCTTAAGTAAGCAAGCAGGGTGCTCTGGGTTGGGAATTGTGTTTGGAAAAGAACGCAGCTTCTGTCCGTGCTTTCACCCAGAAGTAGGCCGGGAGTAGGAGGAAAGCAGTGATCCTTGGTGGTTGAGCAGTCTAAGCGGCAGGAAAGGAACGTGGAAAGAAAATGTAAAAAAATGAGAACGTTCTAGCAGGTATAAGGAAATTTGGAGAGGGTTTGCAGGTGGTGGGATTTAGGATTGGACACAGAAGGATGGGGGCAGGACTGAGGTAGGGAGGGAAGCTACGAGATCGGCAGAGGTGGGGATTCAGATCTGTGGCCTGAGCCTACCAGTCAGAGCTGTGAGGGAAGGAAGAGGCTGGAAAGCCGGTGAAGGATCAGGGAACAGGCCCAGACAGAACTGACGGTTACTAAGGAAGGGAGCGATCATTACATCTTGGGTTTAGGAAATTGAATCCTGCCAACAGGTACCAAAACTAGTAAAAATTAGTCCTTACTCGCCCCAGGCAAGTAGTTTCTCCGTAGCCGGGTTGCCACTTAGGCCAGTGCTGTCCGTGGTAACAGCTTTTGTGTAGCGTAACGCTTGCTTCCATTTTTCTGAAAACCACTTCGTGAGGAGATCCAGCCCTGTTTGGCAGATGAAGAAGCTGAGGCGAGGAAGGCCTTGGGACACCAAATCTGCTCTCGGGCCCCCACGCTGCCCCGAGGCTCGTCAGGCCCGGAGCGCAAGGTCCCGAGACGCTGGAGGCGCCGCGCGAAGATTCTCCGGGTCCTGACTCCGCCCCGTCCCCCACAGCGCGGGAAGCCCCGCCCCCCGGGGCTCGACGAACCGCCCCTTCCGCGACGTCCAATGAGACTTAGCCCGGGGGGCGGGACAGGTCGCCGCTGAGGGCCAGTCTGATTGGTCAGGGCCAGGGGGCGGGGGCGAGCCGAGCGGCGGCACAGCTGTCTTCCCAGCCGGGGGAGAGCCGGAGCGGGAGGCGCGCACGAGGTCCTGCTGTGCGCGCGCTCGCCGTCCGCGAAGCCCGTCGGCCAGCTCCGCACTCGGGCCGTGGCGCCCGTCCCACCCCTACTCTCGCGTTGCCGCCCGGACCCGGACTCGGGAACCGGGCCTGGGCAGAGTGGGAGCCGCGGGACGAGCGCCTGAGGTGGGTGCGGAGCGGGAGGCGGGAAGGCCCAGGGGGAGCTCCCGGGTCCGCCCAGGGGACGGACGCCGCGTCGAGGTGGGAAGAGACCGTCCAGGTTGAGGAGCCCGGCTCCCGGCCTGCCTAGGTCTTGGGCGCTCGTGCCCGCGTCCTAATACCCCTCCCAGTCCACCACCTTCCCTGTTAGGGACACCCGCCCCTCGAGCTGCCATGGCCTCCTCACCCCTCTTGCTTTTTGTCGTCTGTGCACCGGCCCTCTAGGCCCTGTGCTCTCATTTACTCTCCAGACCGACCCTCAGTCCACCTTACCTCCTCGGGACCCAGCACCAGATTAGATTTGTTTCTTCAGCCCCATCCACCCCTCTTTGTCGTCTGTACACCTGTCACCTCAACTCTGTTCATCACTCCACTGCCAAGATCTTTATCTAAATCCAGCCCAGGTCGTCATCCCCCCTCCACCCTTCCCCGGATTCCTCCCCCAGCCCTGATTATCCCTACAGCTGGGCAGGTTTCCCTGCTCAGCCCCAGCCCCAAGTCCTCCCCATCCAAACTCTTTTGTTGTCTCTGCAGCTGTCCGCTCAGCACTATTCATCTTTTCCCCCCAATTATGCCAAACCCCAGCCCAGACTCCTCTCTCCTGACCGGTGAGCCACCGCTTCCTCAGTTGTGTCCTGGCGGCCCTCAGGATCAGTGTCCAGCTCACTGCTTACTCAGCCTAGTCCTTTCCCTTCCTCTTTCAGCCCAGCCCCCATGCCTCCTACCCAGTGTACCCTCACCCTTTCCCAGATGACCCAATTTTCCCTTGTCTCTCCCACACACTGGCCGATTTCTCTGTCCTCATAGAGTCTCTTTTCCTTACTATGTTCCTCTCCTGTGCTTCCTGCCCTCAGCCGTCTGAACCCCCTCACTGTTTTCTCCCCCACAGGTGCCCTGGAGAAGCCATGGAGCTGAGCAGCAAGAAGAAGCTTCATGCCCTATCCCTGGCTGAGAAGATCCAGGTGCTGGAACTCCTGGATGAGTCCAAGATGTCCCAGTCGGAGGTGGCCCGGCGCTTCCAGGTCTCCCAGCCCCAGATCTCACGCATCTGCAAGAATAAAGAGAAGCTATTGGCAGATTGGTGCAGCGGCACAGCCAACAGGGAGCGCAAGCGCAAGCGGGAGTCCAAGTACAGCGGCATCGATGAGGCTTTGCTCTGCTGGTACCACATTGCCCGGGGCAAGGCCTGGGATGTGACAGGGCCCATGCTGCTCCACAAAGCCAAGGAGCTGGCAGACATCATGGGCCAGGATTTTGTACCCAGCATTGGCTGGCTGGTCCGCTGGAAACGCCGAAACAATGTGGGCTTTGGGGCCCGCCATGCACTCACACCTCCATTCCCCCCTGAGCCACCTCCTCCTAGCCTCATGTCCCAGACCCAGCTGCCTCTTTCCCTTAAAGACTTCTCCCCAGAGGATGTTTTTGGCTGTGCTGAAGTGCCCTTGCTGTATCGGGCAGTGCCTGGCAGAGTGGGTACAGGTGATCAAGTGCAGGTGCTGCTGTGTGCCAACAGCAGGGGCACAGAGAAACGGCGGGTGCTGGTCAGTGGGCCCCAGGCTGCACCAAAGTGCTTCTTTGGGGTCAGCAGTGAGGCCCTGCCTGCCTCCTACCACCCTGACCTGGGCATCCCCTGGTCAGAGTGGTTGGCACAGTTTGACCGGGACATGGGGAGGCAGGGCCGACAGGTTGCTTTGCTGCTGGCTGCCCAAGTGGTGGAGAAGTTGGCAGGCCTGTCTGGACTCTGCCATGTGAGGCTCCTGCCTCTTTCTGCCACTAGCACCACACCTTCCCTACCTAGCTCTGTGATCTGGGCCTTTAAGGCCCATTACCGGCACCGTCTGTTGGGCAAGCTAGCAGCTGTCCAGAGCAAGAGGGCTGGCATGTCGCTGGCTGAGGCTGGAGCAGGCATCACAGTGCTGGACACTCTGCACATGGCCGCTGTGGCCTGGGCCAAGGTGCCTCCCCAGTTCATTGTAAGCAGCTTCATTCAGGAAGGGCTGGCTCCCTGCAAAATGCCCCTGTCCCTGGACAAAGCCTCTGAGATGCCGCCAGTCCCCTGTGGGCTGAGCCTCGAGGAGTTTTCCCGATTTGTGGACCTGGAAGGTGAGGAGCTCATTTCTGGAGTGTGCAAAGAGGAGATGGGTACTGAAGACGAGGAAGGAGCTGGTGAGGACGGCGTTGAGCCCCTGCCCACCAAATCTGATGCTCTCCGGGCCCTGGGCACACTGAGGAGGTGGTTTGAGTGCAATGGCACCTCCCCTGAGCTATTTGAAAAATTTTATGCCTGTGAGGAGGAAGTTGAGCGACTCTGCTGCCTGTGAAGGGCCCCTGTGAAGGGCCCCTGCCACTCTCCAGAGCCCCTTCCTCTCCTGTTTCCCATGGAAACGCCATCTCACAGAAGGCAGATTGGAGGCTGGTCTCTTTCCTGTGGAAATGGAGCTTTTGTGAAAGGTATAGAAGGAAGACAAATTGGGAGACCAAGTCTAAGCTCTGAATAAGTTATCCAAGCCGAGAGAAGAGGGACCCACAGGGGCCGTTAGGGGAGTGAAGATCGGGGAGGTGGTCTCTGAGCCTCTAGGGAGGCTGGGACTTGGGAAGGTAGAATTTGGGGTTTACAGACAGGCTGATGCCTTGAACTCTGTGACGAAAACTGTTCTGCTTCTGAAAATAAAGTTTATAAAGAAAAGAGGCCAGGGTGTAATTTTCAGGGGAGATGGGTAGAAACTTTCAACTCAGATTTTTTTTAACCCTTACCTGAGGATATGTTTATTGATTTTAGAGAGAGAGGAAGGGAGAGAGAGAGAAACATTGAGGTGAGAGAGGAACATTGATCGGTTGCCTTCCATACACCCCCTGATGGGGGATCAAACCCCAAACCTTTGGTGTAAGGGATGGCACTCCAAGCAACTGAGCAACCTGGCTAGGGCTCTACTCAGATTTTCAACTTGATTGCCGAGGGATGCCACCACGCAGCTGCCTGGAGCTGTCTGTGGATGACCACAGGGATCCCTTTCCAGAATTCCAGCAGGAAGAACCTCTGGGTATGGGGACTCCTCATCAGCTACCAGACAGATCCCCAGTATTGCCCCTTCTGCTGCTCTGCTAACTTTGCTCAGATTGTGGGAGGGGAGGTGATGGCAGGAAGGAGGGAGGCAGGCCAGAGATTTCCTAGAGAAACAGAAAGGAGCCAGAACTTTGAATAGTTGTTGGCTCTTTTTTTTCTGTCATTCATTTGATCATTTCACATCTCTTCAGCAAGGCCTGTGTGACCAGGTTGCAAAGATGATGTCCCTGCTGGGCAGTACCTTGCAGACAATGACAGTGGAGTGTGATTATGTGCAAAGTGCTGTGGCCCTGTAGAGCCTGGGAGACTCCTGGAGGAGGTGAGTGTTGAGTTGCAGCTTGAAGGAGAGACAGGAATGGGAAGGATATTCTAGGCCAAGGGGCAGCTGGTGCGGAGTCAGGCGTTCCCCCCAGAGCCACAAGGAGGCCCTGGGAGCAGGCACTGTTAGCCCACCAAGCTTGGTGGTGGGGCACCCAAAGGGCTTCAGTCAGAGAAGGGCAGGTCATTTTGGGGGTTTTAGAAAACTGAGGCATGGAGGGTGGGTCAGAGATGTGAGATCTAGAGGCAGAAAGACTAGTCCAGAGATGGCGAAGGCGGAGCCAGGCTGTGGGAGTGGGATGGAGAGAGGAGGGTTTTACCTGGGAAGGATGTGGGCTTTGCACACAGGCAGACTCTGTCTGGTGAGAAGTCCGGCTCCAGGCCAAAATCCCATGTGTTCAGGCTGACCACAGGCAGTCACAAGCCAGTGTGTGCAGTTCTGTGGGGGGCATTGCAGTCAGGACTCAGGCCACCCAGGGCAGCCTGCTTATACTATACCTGCATTCATAGCCCAGGCGCCTCCTTACAGGGGCTGCGGCCCAAGTACTTCCCAGGGGCCTCTGCTGAGACACTTTCTCCACTTCTTCCACCTTAACGCAATCTTTCATTCCTAGCCCTTCTCTTTCTCTCTTCCCCTGTCCACAGCCCATACAGAAGCAGGAACCTTTTATTCAGGGGGCTCCTGACAGTGAGACAAAACTGCCCCTCCCCTGGCGCTGTTCCACTGGGGAATGGAGCACTGGGGAGGTGGTGACTCCTTCTGCCTCCTACTTGCACTGTCGCAGGAAGTGGATTGAGGCTGAGTGATACTTCCAGGGTGACTCGTCTTAATTGGCCACCTCACTGGCAGCTGGATAATGACTGCTCACTTTTAAACAGTTCTGCTGGCCTTCCTTTTCTAGCCGAAGATCTCAAATCATTGAGCCCTTCCTCACAGATTCTATTTTTCCTACCTTGTTTTTATTTAAATTGTCCTTTTTCTGAAATCATCCAAGTTCTGACATATCTTTCTAAATGTTGAAACCAAAATTATACAATCTCTAAAGGCCCAACCAAACCAACAGAGGGCACAGATTAGCTCTCTGTTCTCAGTGTCGTATTCTTGTTAGTGCAGGACCATGTAACAGCGTTTTATTGCTGACTTCTCCCCAGAAGAAGCCGCAGGTAAGCTCTCCCTTTCTTGAGTTGTTATTACATATCACACTTTGCCTGTCTGTAGGTAACTTTGGTGGCTCATTCAAGCAGTGTTTACTGAGTGCCTTGCTGTGGGACAGGCCCTGTTCCAGGACCCTAAGCTAGTGCTGAACAAGACAGAGAGGACCCCTTACTTTCTGGCGGAGGGAGATAAAGATGCAGGTACACAGGTGAGGGCAGTCATTTTAGAGAGTGATGAGGGTCAGGTGAGAATGAAACAGTGATGCCACAGAGTGACTGTGAGAGGGGAGTCAGGGAAATGACGTCAGGGCCAAGTGGTGAAAGATAAAAAGGAAACACTCATTTTCCTGAAGAAAGAGTCCTCTGGAAAGGGAATGGTAGGTAGAAATATCTAAGGTCAGAAACAGAGGAACAGGTTTAAGAAACAGAAAGACGGCCCTGTGGCTGCAAGTGAGAGAGGGCCAAGCAGAGGAGGGGATGGAGAGGGGGGCGGGGAGGCGCACAGGGGCACCTGACAGCGTTTAAATCTCATTCTCAATGAGACAGGAAGTGTTATTTTGGGGTAAAGGGAGGTTTAGACAAAGGAGGAACATGATATGTTTTATGTTTTTAAAAATCTAGTTCTAGTTGCTGTGTGAAAAACACAGGGAGGTAGCGAGCAAAAGTGGAAACCAGAAAACCAAGTTAGGAAGCTGCCGAGTTGGTGGAGCTTCTTCTGGATAGGGCATAAGGCCTGCAGGGCCGAGAGGGGTCGAAGAGGACGGTTCCCAGCAGAGTTCTTTTTAATCAGGTTCAGGCAGGCCCATGCAATTTTGTAGGTACTGCCACATGCAAAGTAAGGGGCAGCAAAAAAATTATGAACGTTATTTCAGTTTCTTCACAAGCCTGTAACAAACACTCTCTGTGTTCAAGGCATACAAGGCTCCAGGGCAGCAAAGGTGAGTAAGACACAGTCCCTGTTCCTAGGTGCTCACAAACCAGGAGATAGAGCGAGGGACTGACAATACGAGCCAGTCCTGAGGATTAAACAAATTGATAGTTATCAAGTGTTTTCTACTTGCCAGGCACTGTTTTAAACACTATGCATATGTTAGACAGCATTGTCACCATCAGTCTTGAGAAGATGACTGACTGGATGCAGAGCCCAAAGGTCCCCTGCCCTGTTATATCTCTGTAGTGCACTCAAATTTCTTCCCAGCTACCTTCCAGTTGTCTTCAGCTGTGACAGTTCTTTGGGTTACCCCCCACCCCAAATATACATTATGCTTTTATACTGTCTCTTTTAATTCTTTTTATGTATGTAAAGATTTTATGCATGGTTATTTTACATTCTGTATCTGATAAACCTAACATCTGAAATGCTTGGGGGGCGAAATCTGTTGTGTGCTTTTCCTACTGATGCTTTAATTCATGGTGGCCTTTTTCCCTGTGGGTGTGGTGATTTTTGTTGTGGGAATTTTTTTATTGGTTGCACCTAATCTCGGGGAAACGGAAGATCCTAACTTAGGGTGCTCTCCTTTAGAAAAACTGTAGTTACTTCTACCAGGCACGAGGGGGCGCTGGCACCATGTAAGTTAATTTCTGGGAGGCAGGTGTCCCAAACCTAAAGTACCATTAAGGTAAACAGGCATATGGTTGGTTCCTGGTTCACAAGGGAGCCGATCTTATTAACATTTTTTCACCACAGGGAGAGGGGCATATTTCTTTGTAGGTTCCCTTTACTGGTGGGTGGAGGTTTTCTGGTCTACGCTTTTGCTAAAAGTGTAGCCCCCTTCCGGGAACTTGACTTAATTTATGAGACTTGGGTTCAGCTGGGACTCAAGGTCTATGTAGTCTGTTCTGTGTGGTTCTTAAATCTTCAAGGTCATGGTGTTAGCGTTTGCCCCAAGGGCAGCTTTGGAGACAACCTGGTTTACACTCAGTCACTGTTGTGAAGGGGTTTAGGGGAAGTTCCCTCACTGTTTGCAAAGTTAGTAATGGTTCTTAAATTATGTTTGTTGTATTGGATCTGGAGTCTAGTTGCCTGATGATAGGAGGGCTCTACATAAAGTCTAGAGCACAGACCTGACAGTCGAGAAAACCAGTTTTCTTTCATTCATTCATTCATTCACTCGTTCAAAACCGTTTATTGAGCAGCTCTGTATGCCAACTAGAGTTTTGATGATAAGCAAAAAGAGTCAAGGTCTCTGCTTCATGGAGCTCACAGTTTAGAGGAGGGACAATTATAATCAAGAAGTCACACAAATAAAGTATATAATTATAGAATGGAAGCGGGGGGGACATGAAAGCACAAGCCCATGGTTCTCAAATTGTGGCCCGCAGCATCTGGGAACTTAGTGAAACTGAAGTTCTCAGACCCTCCCCAAACCTCTTGAGTCAGAAACTCAGGTGGGACTTAGAAATCTGTATTTTGACAAGCCTTCCAGGTGAATCATAAGCCAAAGGAACCTGAGCTAAAGAGAGGAGCTGAGGAAAGTTTTTCTAAGGAAGTGATACTGAACTGAGAGCTGAAGGATGAGTGGGAGGCACACAGGCAGCGAGAACAGCATGTGCAAAGGTCCTGTGGTGGGAGGGAACCTTGTATGCTTAAGGAACCAAGAGAAGAATGCCCAGGACTTTGGAGGCTGTGGAAGGAGCTTGCCCTGATTCTTCAGAGTAATGGAAAGCCATCAAGGGGGGCAAGAGGAGTAGGGTAACTTGATCAGAATTGCATTTTAAAAAGTCAAGTTATTTGTCCAGATTCGGGACAGAACCAGGGCTGTAGTGCAGGCACACCTCATTTTATTGCCCTTCACAGGTGTTGCGCTTTTTACAAATTGAAGGTACAACCCTCCACCAGCAAAAAGATTATGAACTGCTGAAGGCTTAGATGATGGTTAGCATTTTTTAGCAATAAGGCATTTTAAAATTAAGGTATGTGCATTGGTTTTTTAGACACAATGCTATTGCACACGATAGACTACAGTTATGCAAACATAACTTTAATATGCACTGGGAAACCAAAACCTCATGTGACTCGCTTTATTGTGATATTCACTGTAGTGCAGTGGTCTGGAACCAAGCCCACAGCATCCCTGAGATATGCCTGGGTTAGGATTGGAAAGGAGGGAGTGAGTCCTAGGAAGCTTCAGGGGCAGGTTAACAGGAATTGGAGACACCTTTAAAGTGGGAGGAGAAGACAGCGAGAGCTTCTTTGAGATGTCTGGCCCAAGGGATTACCTGTGCCATAGAGCCTGGCAGCAGGAGCAGGTGACTTTGGGATGCTCAAGGATCTGTGACCAGAGTTGGCAGCGTGGGCCTGGAGCTCAGGACGGTGGTCAGGCTCGAGACGCCAATTAAGAGTGACTCCTCTTCATGAAACAAAACTAAAACTAAACTCAGCTGTTTAGTGAGTCCAGCAATAGTGATTTATGCCGGAATCATCCCCAGACTATCATTTCCCCCTTTACCTGCACATGTAGCCTTGGTGTCACTATACGCGTATTAGTCTCCTGTAATTTCTCCTACTGTGACCACTGCTATAAAAATAAATAGATATGTTTGACAGCATGAGTTCAATGAGACACAATGTAACATGTTTGCCCAAGTTACAAGCCCTTCACATGCAACCCTCAGACGCCACCCCCGTTTTCAACCTCAAAGCAGTTCATTGACTATGTCCTAGTTCCTAGGGACCCCATCTAAATCAGTCTCAAGTATAATGAGGACCTCTAATGATATCTACTATTCCCAAAGGAATTTATCATGCATATTATGAGATCCTGCTGACGTCAAAACGTCTAGCTTTTAAAAATATCTTCAGCCATTTCCTGCCTGAGTCTGTCTTCCCACCCTCCTTTCCAACACTGTTGTGTCCCCTCCCGGGGCCTCGGAAAGAGTGAGTTGTTTTCTCACTGCTCATGCTTAACCTGCCCCCGCTGCAGCCCCGTTCTGCAGACGGCTCGCAGCTCCTGCCAGGCCAGCGGAAGGGACTGCATGGCGTGCGAGGCCTGCCACCGTCTCTGGTCCTAATGAGCTCAGCGCAGGGAGCCAGCCCCCTCCCGAGATGCCTGTGGAGAGAACCAGAGAGGGAAAACAGAAGAGCGTGCCCAGACAGTGCAAAGGCAGGCCACAAAGGCAGCTTGTGGGTGAAATTAATACCCAAAAGGATTTAATTTTAACAAAACCCAAACAGGATTTTCATATTTTTTCTTTTGCTAACTGGTGGTGTGGTGAGAGATGGCAAACTTCAGAGGACCACTCTGATCTGTCTCTTCTTTTTTTTAAAAAAAATTTTTAATATATTGATCGGTTTTTTGGAGAGAGAGGGAAACATAGATTTGTTGTTCCACTTATTTATACATTCATTAGTTGACTCTTGTATGTGTCCTGACCAGGTATCGAACCCACGACCTTGGTGCATCAGGAGGATGCTCTAACCTACGGAGCCAGCGGGCCAGGGCCTCCTCTCCCTTCTTGTCTGGGTTATAAGAGCCACTTCCTCTTTCATGTGCACACTCTTGGCTCCCTTCGGGCCACTCACTGCCCTGAGGTGTTCCAATGACTGTCACATCCGGCCCCAAATCTCTGGGACTGTGCCCGTGCTGGACGGCCATTGGGGTGCACAAGCTGACCAGTCGGAAGGGATCTTGGAGGAAACTGAGGCACAGAAAGGACAGTGACTGGCTCAGGCAGACCCTGTTTTCCCATCTCAGGACCAGGCTTCCTGAGTCTGCAGAGTGGAGGCTGCAGCACTAGGAGTTAAGTCACTTAACTCCCAACTTTCTCACTTGAAAAGACAGCACCTTTCTGCTGTTAGGAGCAGCCAGAGCTCCGTTACGTGTGTAAAAGTCACGGGAGAGCGTCGAAGAGCACAGACTTCTGGGCTCCAGCCTCAGAGATTCTGATTCAGTCAGGCCCGGGTGGGCCTGGGATTCAATTCTAACAAGCTCCAGAAGATCCCGTGCGTTGCTCCACGGACCACACTGGGACCACCCGACGACCACAGAACTCACAGGCGCTTTCCTAAGTGTGAGTTAGCGTGAAGGCTGAACAGCTGCAGCAGAGAGACTCAGGATGCAGCCGTGCCCCTGGTTCCAGGCCAGTGGGGTGCCTCCTGCACCCTCAGCAGTCCTCCAGGGTCACTGGTTCAGCCAACAGTGAGGAACTGCCTTGTAAGCAAGTGATGGGCAATGTGCACGCACCACACGTTTCTCTAGCAAGATCCAGGCCCAGGCGCCATGGAGCTGCAAGGGAAGTTGGGACACAGCCTGGCACAGCGGCCACGTGCCCTGCAAGCACAATATGACGATGAAAGAAGGGAGAGCAACTTGGGGTGCCACCTGCAGTCCGTGGCCCACAATCTAGTGAGGGACAGCTCCGATAAGCATGTCAGGGCTGAGGCTGGCAGGACTCCCTGGCTGAATTTGAACTGAGCTCTGGAGCTGGGGGCTTAGAGGCTTCCAGGTAAGCTGTGTAGCCTGGGATGAGTTACCTACTGACTGAGCCCAGGTCCCTCTGTCAACAGTGATTAGAAGTTGTGATGGTTTTTCTAGGGAGCACACAGGAAACAGCAGGGATCTAGGCCTTCAGGTCACCAGGAGGTGGGCCCAGGTTGATCTCAAACCAGATCAGGGCATCAGTGGGTACAAACTATGCTAGGCTTTTTATTGCCAATCAAGTGAACCCTCAGCCAGTTTTGAATGCCCACTTTGAGATAAGTAAAGAAAACTTGTGCCATGAGTGGAGCAGGCCAGAAAGACACCCCCAACTGCTGGCACCACTCCCCTGGGGCTGAGCCCGGGGTAGGCAAACCTCTGGGGGGGGGAGGGACAGGGAAGCCAGTGGGTGGTTGGAGTCAGGGGAGAGACCGGGAGTGCAATGCCACTTTATTCAACAGGCACTGACCGGGAAACGATCAGATGTGTGACCACTGACCTCGAGCAGCTGCCAGCTTAATGGAGAAGCTGAGAAATCAACCAACCACCATGACAAAGGTGAGGGCTGTGATTAAGGTGAGCTGGGGATCTGCAGACCCAGAGTCAGTCCGGGGCAGTGGGGAGGGGGCAAAGGAAGGCCCCCGGAGCCAGTGCTCAGCCTGGGTCTGAGAGTGGCCTAGCCAGCGGAATGATGGGATCGCCCCTTGGCGATGCCCAGTGTTGGCCAGGAGGGACCAAGCCTCCAGTCTGGGGGTGCTGAGGGGCATGGCTGCCGAGGCTGTGAAGCTGCGGAGGGGGAGGAAAGCTAGTGCCCGGGGAGCTGCCCCATCAGGAGCGGGTGGAGCTGGGCTTTGCCCTGAGGTGATAGGAGGCACTGAAGGACTCTGGGCGGCCAGGAGATGTAAAGGCTACTCTTGAGTCAGGTGGGGGGAGAGTTGAAAGGAGATGAGGTGAGAGGAAGATGACGCTGTCCTGGAATT